TTCCTATGGGCCTCTACTAACAGCATGGAGGTAATACACTGAATACACTGAAGGGCAGGGAAAGAGAGCTGGGAGAAATCTTTCTGAGGCACTCTAGGCCTTGACTGAGTGCAAGGTGCTGGTCCCCAAAGGCAAAGGGCAAGGCAGAGAGGGATCTCCTGGGGCACAGAAAAAATGACCAAAGAAACACTTGGATTATTGTGTAAGAGGAGTGAGCTTTGTAAATGCCACTTTAGTTGGCCTACTGTGGAACAGACTGCCTATGAATGGTAGCAGTCAGGTAGTAGATGAACACTGATCTGAGAGTCTGTAAAAGAAACTCTTTGGAATCATAATTGTGGTCTAGACCTTTGGTACTCAAAGTGTGGTTCCTGGACAGATGTATTGGCATTACCTGGCAGCTTGCTGGAAATGTAGAACCTCAGGCCTCACCCTGGACTTTTGAATCATTTATGTTAATTAAAATTAAATAATTTTTTTTTTTTTTTTTTTTTGAGACGGAGTTTCGCTCTTGTTACCCAGGCTGGAGTGCAATGGCACGATCTCGGCTCATCGCAACCTCCGCCTCCTGGGCTCAGGCAATTCTCCTGCCTCAGCCTCCTAAGTAGCTGGCATTACAGGCACGCGCCACCATGCCCAGCTAGTTTTTTGTATTTTTAGTAGAGACGGGGTTTCACTATGTTGACCAGGATGGTCTCAATGTCTCAACCTCATGATCCACCCTCCTCGGCCTCCCAAAGTGCTGGGATCACAGGCTTGAGCCACCGCGCCCGGCCAAAAATTAAATAATTTTTATTTCAACAAAATCCATTGATAATGCAAAGAGGATATAAAAACAAAAAGTCAACTCTAGTGCTGATGAGAGTGATTATCATCACTGATGATCATGTCAGATGATTATCGTGTCAATTTATAACTTAGTTTATCTAAAATAGAGCAATGCAAAAGATAGAGCAGTCCTCACATAAAATGAAGTCTTGAATGCCACTTTTCTAAAGAGAAGGCTCATAAAAGCACCTCTTTCCTCACTATTGTAAAAAATCCATTGTACTTGTGATAAAACTGATTGTGTTCAGTTATATTAGATTTGTGTGCAAATAAAAAGCTGGATAATTAGCTACACCTTGTCCTAAACATATAAAATAAGAAAAATAAATAGATGTATGGTTTCCTAGGAAATCTACCAGTTTAGAATGTGAAGCTAATGTGGGAGCTGCAGAGCATCTCAATTAAGGATATGGAAAGAAGTTGCAGACTGATGACATCTTAGTAGTAATGACATTTTTTAAAGACAGTATTTCTCTGGTGAGATAAGCAGATAATATTTTACAGTAAACATATTTTATATTTCAGTTAATGAGACATTGAATATTAAATCGAGTTTAATGCTTCACTTTTTTCCTGTGTTAAAATTAATCATGGCCTTTGCATTGTGACTTTGCCATTCTTTCCATTGTTTTTCTAACTTGTTTATATTTTGTTGAGCTTGGTCATATGACTTACAGTAATAGCCTGTGACGAAGTGACAGGAGACCCCATCCTGGCCAAGGCCTTATGAGGCATCCTGGTTTCCTCTCACCTTCACAAGCCTCTGCGGGGTTCATTATGAGAACATGTCCTGAGAAACCAGTGGACAAGGAGAACAAGAGGTATATGGAATAGGTCTGATCCAGCCTTACCACCTGAAGTAGAGCTGCCAAGCTGGCTAGCAGACCCACAAACATGAAAATCAGTGTTTATTGCAGCGAGCCATGAAACTTTGAGGCTGTTATAAAAAGTAAAAAACCTAATACAAATGGAAAGAAACATGGTTAGTAAGCACAGCTAGTTATGAGCAACTGTCATGTTCTAACAGGACAGCAACTATTGGAATCTGAATCAGAGAGGGGCCAGACCCCAGTTTGGGTAAAACTCAGTTCATCTTTTAAACTGACAATAAATGGAAATATATTTTAATAGTAATTTTATCATTACATGGCAAACTTTGTTCTGTGAGCTATTAAAATATTCGTCTTGGCCAGGCGCAGTGGCTTACAGCTGTAATCTCAACACTCTGGGAGGCCAAAACAAAAGGATTGCTTGAGGCCAGGAGTTTGAGACTAGGTAGGGCAACATAGGGAGACCCCGTCTCTACAAAAAACAAACAAACAAACAAAAATAGCCAGGCATGGTGGTGCACACTTGTAGTCTTAGCTGCTTAAGAGGCTGAGGCAGAAGGATCACTTGAGCCTAGGAGGTTGAGACTGCAGTGAGCCATGATCATGCCACTGCATTCCAGCCTGGGCAACAAAGCAAGACTAGCTCCAAAAAAAATTCATCTTTATTTTAATATTCAAATTTACATTTTGTGTATGGAATGTAAGCATCAAGAATTATCTTTAAATACAGACGAAACTTTCCTAAGGTCTCTTGTCAGGCACCTTGGCCTGAATAACAGGCATCCCTTGCCTTCACATCTTCATATGACAGCAACAAAACCTGAGGAATACAAAGAGATTCTAACCTAGGATCTCAAAAGCTTTTATAGGAATAATATTAAGCTTCACATCTAATAAATAATAGCTGGAATGTTACAGTATCTATAGCTCTTTAAACTACCTCCCAAGGGAAAGACAATGAGGGCTTAGTTCCTGTGTCTTTTAACCTTTAACTTTACGTGTATTCGTTTGGATACATGCTGTCCAATATGATAGCTACAAGCCACATGCGAGCTGAGCACTTGAAATATGGCTAGTCCTAATTCAGACGTGCTGTAAATGTAATATACACAACATATTTTGAAAACTTAGTATGAGGCCGGGCGTGGTGGCTCATGCCTGTAATCCCAGCACTTAGGGAGGCCGAGGCGGGCAGATCATCTGAGGTTGAGAGTTCGAGACCACCATGACCAACATGGAGAAACTCCCGTCTCAACTAAAAATATAAAAATTAGTTGGGCATGGTGGCACATGCGTGTAATCCCAACTACTCGAGAGACTGAGGCAGGAGAATCGCATGAACCAAGGAGGCAGAGGTTGCGGTGAGCCAAGATCACGTCATTGCACTCCAGCCTAGGCAACAATAGCAAAACTCTTATCTCAAAAGAAAAAAAAAAAAAAAAAAAAAAAGAAAGAAAAAGAAAACTTAGTATGAGAAAAACAAGTATTAATTTTTATATTGATTCCTTGTTGATAGTATTTTGGATTTAGTTGCTTTCTTAAAACTCTCCTGTGTTACCCAGTTTGAGTATGTCATCTGTTTCCTCCAGGGACCTTGACTGATAAAACATTAAAAAGAAGTGTACTTTTAAAAACTTGTATTTATATATTTCTTATTAAGAATTGGAAGAATTGAAATTTTTACATTTTCTTTCTCTTTCTCTCTCTGTTACACAGAAAGCCTGATTAAGTAGTGTTATTCTTTTATCTACAGAAGTAACCACTTCTAGCTGGGCACAGTGGCTCATTCCTATAATCCCAGCACTTTGGGAGGCTGAGGCAGGTGGATCACCTGAGGTTGGGAGTTTGAGACCTGCCTGGCCAACATGGTGAAACCTTGTTTCTACTAAAAATACAAAAATTATCTGGGTGTGGTGGTGGGTACCTATAATCCCAGCTACTCAGGTGGTTGAGGCAGGAGAATCACTTGAATACAGGAGGCACAGGTTGCAGTGAGCCGAGATGGTGCCACTGCATTCCAGCCTGGACAACAGAGTGAGACTCTGTCTCAAAAAAAAAAGGAAGTAACAATTTCTGCTGATCTTTTTTCCCCTGTAGGTTCAAAGAAAAAAAAACCTCCCATCTTCCAATCTTATTAAGTAACAGGGTTAGCAGAATCAAGTTTTGAGTCCTAGGTGAAAATCCAGGGAAGAATCGTAATCAGTTACAGCCAAAGACAAATCCAATATTAAAATTAGTTGATACTGACCCATCTTATTTCACTTATCCCACCCAGAGTGGCCCAAAGCAGACTGTTAGATCTGCCTCCAAACCAACCTTCTCTCTAAAAGACAGTCTGCTGATTGTCTCCATAATTTGAGATTTTAACAAGTGGAGTTTGGCTCCCAAATACCTTAAAGGATTTTTGTTGTTGTTGTCTGTGGGGAGGGGGAGATTGGACCTAGGCAACAAAACAGGAATGGAATAAGAAAAGATTTGTGTTCTCTGAAGGAGACTTGTGAGGTCTAATTCCAACTTGCTGAGGGAGAAAGAAAAAGCAATAGGCTTCAAGCAGAAGACATGAGTTCGAGTGTCTGCTCTGCCATGTAGTAGTCTGTGTGACCCTCATTTGTAAAATGGAAATGATATTTACACTTTCATGGGTTGTTGTGAGGGTCAGAATAGACTGTGTACATGACAGTGCTTTGTATATGCAGACAGAAGGAAGAAGGGGGCTGTTATTGGCTCAACTTACTTGACCTTTATTTTCATCATTATCATCAGCCACTATTTTATGTCGATCCACTGTGCAGTGAGCAAGCAGTAAACTTAGGAAGCCAGGAGTGTGGGAACGTGATTAGCATCATATGCCACATGTGCTTCCATCTTAAAGCACATGAACAGAATGATATTAAATTACAAGCCTCTCGGGAACAGACCAGCTCTCTGCCTCCCTTTTTATTAATACCATGTCCCATGAACTCTGTATTCATGTGGAGTTTTAAGTACGTGCTTGGGAGTTATGAGGAGACAGCGTGGTATGTTCAGGAAAGAAAATAACGATTAAGTGCATGCCAGGCTTTGGCTCAGCCATTTGGGCAAATGACTTAACCTCTCTGAACCTCAGTTTCTGTCTCTACAAAGTGGAAATGGTAACACCTACCTTCTTCAGATTGTCATGAGGATTAAATGAGAAGATGAATGTAATGCCCTTATGAGCGTGCTACACCACAAATGCTCAGTGAATAAGCAGCGATGACAGTATAGGCAACTACCACTAGGAGAATCTGAACATGTCCCAATTTGAATTTTGATTCCTAATCAAGGTCCAGTGAATTTAATTATAAGTAGCAGAAAAGAAGATTAAGAGTTCCATTCCACAGCTTTATTAAGTTTTTATATTCACCTGGCTGTTGTCAAAATTGACTTGATCATTTAAGAGATATAGGGACATGTGGCTTCTAGTTTGTGTGAGAGCTTTTCTTTCCCCATCAGCTCAATAGTCAGTCCCCAGATCTAGAGATGGAGAACTTGGGACAAGGTCAGAATGAAACATCACCAGGCAATCCTGCTCAACAGGTAACTCTGGCAGCAGTGCTTAAAGGAAAGGGGTACAATCTCTTCATGTCTCCATGGTAAAGTTCATAGCTGCTGCTGCTTCCACAAAATACTTCATGGAATAAGCAAACGAAGCCTATATTGTGTGATGGGCGTGGCAACAACATTTTCAGACTTGGCTCCTGCACATTTTGATGTGTAAATTCCATGATACGGCAAAAGCATGCCACTCCACACTCCACACTAATGCTGCCCTCTCACTAAATTAAGCCCTGGAAAAATAAGATGTGGCTTGGCTTTAAAACTCAGTGAGCCATCTTTATGGTACAGTTGGTTTGCACAGCTGTAAACAGAAAGATCTGTGATTTGTGCCTACCCAGGATGGTCTTGTCTCTAGACAAATTGATGATGCAAATGTTCTGGAACTAAATAGTGGTGATGGTGGCACAACACTGTGAATGTACTAAATGTCACTGATTTGTATGTATTTAATATGAATTAAATGTTAAACTGGTGAATTGTATGTATGTATATTTTACCATAGTAAAATGATGCATTGGAAGATGCATTTTTATGACCCTGAGTTGTAAGTATTTTTCTTTGTGATATGTATATACCACCTACCACATAGTAAGCCCTGATGTTTTAATGTGTATATGTATATCTGCTTTTTGCAAATCTCTGGTATGAGTGTTCCACTCTGTAGCATTTAGGTATCACCTAGGAATATGTGATTTATTGACACTCTGCTTTGGGTGGGATTAAGAACTGTACTGACTGCATGAGCACATACATTTCCTTATAAAACTCTTTTGCTTTAGCACATATTTGCCTACTGTAGAAAATTCTCCTACCCACAGGGCAGGCTGGGAATGTGATGTGTATCTGCCTTCTCCAAAGGCATTGTATGGCTTTCTTAATGGATGGCAAACAGGAGAGAAAGGGGTTCTTCAAGAGTACAACTGAATCAGTTCCTGAGATTCTTCTTTCAGCCAGTTCAGCCTCCATCACAGGACTCAGGACTCTCAGTTCTTCCAGACAAAGTCAATATTGTTCTTTTATAAAGCAAAGATTATGAAAGGTGGCAGGTCTTTAAAACCCACACAAGCACAAAGTACAAAGGAGAAAGGGGTAGCTGGGGAAAAACTCACTAAAGAGACTGTTTCTGCTGGAAGTCCTTGAGGCAGAGGATGTTGAATATCTCCAAAAGAAAGGCTTCAGCAAAAGCCAAGGAAGCATCACACTGGTCAAGACTGACCCCGGTAAACAGGGAAGGATGGCCTTGAACACTGTGATAGAGGAAAACGCTCCCTGGATAATTTTTTTCTCACTCCAGCCAGCATATTGCAGCTGCTCTTGCTATACCATATCTTTCCAGAAACACGAAGGCTTGTGAAAGATAATCAAGCCTATTATGGCCACTGCGACAAGGACCAGGGAGAACAGAACCATGAGGAAGACATAGGTGGAGTGGGAGAGAGGTGCGGACAATGGTTGCTCAGCTGGGATCATGTTGGTCAGGTTCAGCATGTAGCCCAAAGTCCAGCCGGCATCGCTCCTCTGGATCTGCAAACAGTGGGGAAAGTCTGTTGTTTTGTGGTTGGAGGAGTTAGAGCAGTTACCACCTAGGGCTTACAATTATTAGATCATGCATTGGAAGAGTTCGAAAAATAGAAATCACTGGCTGGGCACAGTGGCTCATGCCTGTAATCTCAGCACTTTGGGAGGTTATGGAGGGAGGATCACTTGAGGCCAGGATTTTGAGACTAGCCTGACCCTGTCTCTCCAAAAAATCAAATTAGCTGGGCATGGTGGAACATGTCTGTACTCTCAGCTATTTGGGAGGCTGGGTGGGGAGGATCACTTAATCCCAGGAGTTGGAGGCTTCAGTGAGCTATGATCATACCACTGCACTCCAGACTGGGTGACAGGGTGAGACCCTGTCTCTTTTTTAAAAAAAAAAAATGTATACACACACACACACACACACACACACACACACACACACACACACCATGACTGCCTGGTGTGTCAGTCCTAAAATTTTGACATAAGTATAATCCTTTAAACAAAATAAACTGCTGGAATTAAAGGAAGTCTCAAATACTATAACAAGGAAAAGATTTAAGTTTGAATTAGCAAGATCAGTACCGCCAAGAATGTAATGACACTATTATCCTCAGGGCTGCTACAGCCCTTTGCCTCAATGATTTGTCTTGCTTGAAATCACCATATTTAATATAGGGGGTGAAATGTTTTCCCCAGTAGTGAGCATGGGCTTAAAAAGGTAGAGACACACTGCTCTGGATATATTTGGTCAAGCATGTGTCGCTCAGCTGGGTTCTCTATTCCTAGATGCCTGCAGGTGGTGCTATGGTAAAGCACAGCACTGAGGTTGCTTCTTCAGGGCTCCTGCTAACACTGGCTTCTAAGCAATGGTCTCATCATTCACAGCCACTCAGTCCCCTTCTTCACACAGAGCTTTCAAATTGGTCAACCTTGAAGTAATAAGCAACAAGGATGATGAAACCATGATCATACTTTCCTAGCTTATGGAAGTCAGCACACATAGTCATTGTGGCTGCTGAAATGCTGTTACTTTAATATCCCATTTTGTGTTTTGTTTTGTAAGGAATTAGTCACTGTTATGTGGGAAGGTGCAACTGAGAATGCAAGTAGCTGCCCTTAGAGAGGATGCTCACAGTGAGCCAACAGACCCAGGAGGGCTTGACACAGAATGCCAGGGTTAGAAGCAGCATGATAGAACATCCAGCCAAAGCCACACCAGGCTGCCTCCCACCTCTTCCAAGCCCCAAACTGCTTCAGTCACTACCACCGAACCCCAACTTCCCCAACCCAACAGGCCCCCAAATTACCTTGCCAATGAAATGGATGTGCTCCCAGGAATCAGCTGTGAAATGATAGCCGTGCAGAAGGAGGGAGAGGATGTAGGTACCAGAAAAGCAGTATTCACTCAGGTACTTCTCCTTTACTCCAGTGAAAGATGTTTTTATCTAGAAGGGAAGTGAAGGAGAGATCATATTCGTACAATAGGCATCTCTCTGTAACCCCCTTTTTCTTTACGAGACCTGACGAAGAGAAGGGAGAGCCCCCAGCTCTGGTGCACCTGAAGGTTGGCCTCTTCCAGAGGTTTTGGGGATGGTGCTGTACTCCTTCAGTGGGAGCAGGGTTCTGTAGTTTAGAGTCTTTTAAGGAAGCTTTTCCGGCACAGGCTTCTATGAGATAATAGGTACTTCAGGAAAAAAAGCAGTTCCTGTGGTCTAGGAGGTTCCAAAACACTAAATTTTAGTACCTCTCTTCATCCCCTAAACCAGGCGTCCCCAAACTGCGGCCCCCTGAGGCCATTTATCCAGCCTCCTGCCGCACTTCAGGAAGGGGCACCTCTTTCATTGGTCAGTGAGAAGAGCAAGTATGTGGCGGCCCTCCAACGGTCTGAGGGACAGTGAACTGGCCCCTTGTGTAAAAAGTTTGGGGACGCCTGCCATAAACTTTGTTTAATCTGAGTTTTCTATATGCTCTTGACCACAGCCTTTGGCCCAGAACCTCTATGGGCATCTTTTTTTTTTTTTTTTTTGAGATGGAGTTTCACTCTTATTACCCAGGCTGGAGTGCAGTGGCGCAATCTCGGCTCACCGCAACCTCCGCCTCCTGGGTTCAGGCAATTCTCCTGCCTCAGCCTCCTGAGTAGCTGGGATTACAGGCACGCGCCACCAAGCCCAGCTAATTTTTTGTATTTTTAGTAGAGACGGCGTTTCACCATGTTGACCAGGATGGTCTCGATCTCTTGACCTTGTGATCCACCCGCCTCGGCCTCCCAAAGTGCTGGGATTACAGGCTTGAGCCACCGCACCCGGCCTTCTGTGAGCATCTTAACAGTGTCATAAAAAGCCTTACCACTCAGTTTAGTCCCTGGTCTGGCAGCATCAGCATCACTTGGGAGCTGGTTAGTCCTCATCCCAGAACTACCAATTCAGAATCTGCATTCCAGTATGATTCCCAGGTGATTTATGTGCACAGTAAAGTTTGAGAACCCCAGCTCTGGAACACCATTTAGGAGCATTTTGCTGAGGACTGCTAACACTGCCCAACATCTCACCTTCTGTCTTCTGTCTTAACGTCTTTTTTTGCATCTGAGTCATGCAAAGTGGTTGTTTCCTTGAGTCCTTCCTGTGTTTACCCATCCTATTCCCTACTAAAAATATTAAGAGCTGCCTGCCATCCCACAGCCTGCTGTTCCTCTCCTGCCCTCAATTTGAGGACAACAGGCCAAGAACTCTCTATGTTCAGCCTGGACTTCTGTCTGCTGCCCTGTTACTCTGCCCTTCAGATAGGCATTCCCTCCTGAACACCCTTGGCAGAGAGAGAACATTTGTTATGCACGCATCATATACCATCTGGAACTATGCCAAGTGTTTTATATGTAGTATCTCCTGGATACCTAAACCATACCCCTTTTCCCAGATTTCTCTCCCTCCTGTGGGTTATCCCCCTGCAAATACTAACTGCTGGCTGGGGTCTGTTTCTCACTTGGTTCCTGCCTGCCCCCTGTTTCCGGAAGGATAAGTCCATAACCAGACTGCCTTGTCTTGCTCTGATGAAATTCTTAGAATGACCCAGCTTGGAATTTGTCTTTTCAGCACAATTCTGGAAATTACCCTGTGATTGATTCCTCTGCATGTGACATCCTCTTGAGACTTTGGTGTGGACATCAGTTGACATTGCCTGTCCAGGTCCCTCCCTTTCTTTCAGTCACTGCATTCTGCTTTCCCTTTGTGGAAAGACCTCTTCCCCATCAATGTAGTCTTGGTGGGCCTGTCAACTGAAGGATGCCTATGGGATACAAAATCCCAAGAATATACTTAGATCTAACTTGAAAGTGCTGAGCCCCTGTAGGTCCTTGAAGGCTGTCCTATCCCTTGTAGGGGACTGGGAGATGCCATTTGGGCCGAATTTCCCTGAATTCTTCAATATCCCTATTCCCATCCTCCTTCTGAAAAGCAGTACATTGTCTATGCAGTCTGGCCTCCTGAAGGTTATGACAGTAGCCAAAAATATAGAAGCCAAAAAGGCATCCACCTTCTTCATCAATCCAGACTGATCATGCTCATGCCTGTGGGTGGATTCATTACTATGTGCTCTCCAAACTGGAAGAGGAGGCCACTCTCCTCTCTCTCTCCCACCTTCCCCTCTCCCTTCTCTCCTTTCTATTCCCAGGACAGTGGAATAGATGGATCTTGAAGATCTTGATGGATCTTCAAGAATGGGATAGCTTTCTCTAGAAAGGCTAAATATTCATGAGGCTGAATGTGACGATCCAGAGTACACTGAGATATAACTGGTCATCAGTACGCATAGAATCTGATCACATTGTTCTCATGGGCTGATCAGGTGTTGAATGACCAGATTTTCAGAGTGGAAAAGTGGCTGTCTTCTGGTTGCTGAAAGATTCTACTAGCCTTCTAATGAAGCTGCCAGAAGACAACTGTGGAGTGTCCCTTCCACTCACTCTTCTAGTCTCTCTACTTTAGAGACACAATGACTTCAGGCACCTGACTGAGTGTCAGCAGATATGGTTTGCATTTTATTTCCCTTGCCAAAGCAGGGCAGGCAGCATGATATGATACGCATAAAGCATGGAAAGCAAACGTCCACCACTGTCAACGCTTAAACATTGTTAATTCTCTCTCTACCAAAGGTGTTTAGAAGGAGTATTCCCAAACACAAGCCATACGGGAATAGCAGTCCTTTCCTATGATGAAGTTAGGAGGTAAAGAAGAGTTACCTCCTAACAATGTACTTGACAAAACTATGCTTTTGCCTGAGTGGACGATGCAGCTTGGGAAGATGAACCCTGTAGGCTCTGGGTGAGGACAGGGGTCTAACCCTGCAACCCCTTCCCCAAATGCTTCAGGAATCTTCCCAAATGCAGGCCCTGCTTAGCTTATTTCTGGGGCTTCTGAACCATTCCCCACGTGACCTACATGAACAGACCTACAGGTCTGCATATAAGTATTCCTAGCCTAATATAATCTGATAGAGTAAAAATTTAGATGTGGATAAGAGAGGAAACCTGACAGAACTTCTAATCTAAACCAGACGTCATTTTTTTTCAAAGAGCAGCATAAATCTGCTTCCTCAGCAGCCACACACAGTCCTGGTCTCAAATTGCCTCCACTCCAACATGCTTGTCTTCCTCCACATATCACCACCAGCTGCCAAAAAGCACTGCTAAGCATTTTGTACAGTGCTGAGACATATTTGAACAGCTCTTGCTGAAGGCCCTGACCGCATTTCTTTTATGTTCTAGACAAAATACCTGGAGAGAATGCCAAGCTTCCATGCTCTTGCTCAGCCTTTCTTTCCCCTTGTCGGTGCAGACAGGGATAATCATCTATTTTTAATTAATGGTATTTCTTAAGAATGAAAGCACCATTCACTTTTGCAACTGTCAAATTAAAAGCAGCTGCTGTTCTGAGCTGTCTTTTATAATCAGGGTGGATCCCATACCTGTCATCCCTGGATTTTCATCTTGTGGCACTGGATGTTAAATGGCTCAGTGGCTCTGATAAGAAAAACATTGTACTTCAAATTTATGAATAAATAGGAGATATCTTGGACCTGGGGGAAATGCAGAGGATTTTACCACAGTGGTGCCTGGGGCAGACTCTTTGAATTGCCTGCTTTCTTGCTAATAGAACTCTGATTTGGGGGTTGGAGGAGGGGAGTAGGCCACAATGTACCCAGCCCAAGGCAGCGGCTCATGATAGATCTAAGGCTCTAAGCCGGTGACGAAATTCAGCACCTGGTTTTCCCAGTAAATCCTGGCCATTGAGATGTAAGGGGAAGACTGCTGAGTCTGGGATAGGAACAAATGTATCTGATTCTACCCCTTTTCTGATCTTTCTGAACATTGCTGTGATTTGTGAAGCTATAGCCACCATGTTGTGTCCATGAAGAAATAGGCACAACAGCAGAGCTGAAGAAGCAATGGCTGAGATAGAGCAGAGCTGCTGACCCCATGTCAGCAGCTGCCTACTTCCAGACTTCGTATTAGGTGAGAAAAAAATAAGATCTTATTTAAGCCACTGTATGTCAAGTTATTAAGGAATGCTGACAAATTCATTTCTGAGTCCACCATCTGGTCTTCTCAAATGTGTTAACATTTGCTGGATCTTGGTCAAACCAGCAGGAGTTTAAGAGCAGACTCACATCCTCTGCACTAGCAAAGGATGTTATAGCTGCCACTTCTAGTCACTTACCTCCTCCCAAGGCTGAGAGCAGAACTTTTTCATCATCTCAGTCACCTTTGCCTGAGGGACTTTCTCTGATGTCAAGTTTAAAAAATTCATCACAAAGTAAAAAGCGGAAAATGCCTACGAGAGAAAATTGCAGTTTTAGGCTATGTTCCACACAGAGGGATGTCAACTTGCTCTCCTAAAAGCCCTATCTCTTGTGCAGGTGCCTGGAAAGTTCTGCTGAGTAAATTAACACACAAAGTGATACTGCAGGCCCAAGAACTGTTTGCTTCCTGAAAGAGGAGCTACTTTGCTGCTGACACACATTTCTAAGCCAATTGGCAGTTACTTTTCTCCATAACTGTAATAGGAGAGTCAGGAGAAAGAAAAATGGGGAAACAGAATAAGAAAAGGGGAGAAAGGGGTTACAAAAATCCCATTTAAAAATACTATGCACTATATATGAATGTTTAATAAATACATAAAACTGGAAAATTCTATACAACACGAGTTATCTCTATAACAGAATCTTTATATCTATCTTTATATCTATCTCTATAGCAGAATTTTTTTACCTATTTTCTATAATGAATATGTACTGCTTTCCTTTAAAAAAATCCATCTTTATTCAACAAATTTATTGGAAGTCTACTATGAGCTAGGTGCTATTTTAGACACAACCGAAAAACTTTTTTAAATTATCATCATCATCATACATGAGAACTATAGAAAAAAGTCTAAACAATAAAACAATTCATTAAACAATTTTCTTATTGTTTTTTATTGTTGTCTTAAAACATTCATTAAAATGACCTCTAAATTCTATTACTTAGTGACAACTGCTATTAAATATAGTATGTCAGCTTCTAGCATTTTTCTCATTCTGTGATACATATATAATTTTTCATACCACCCTATAACTGCTTTTTTACTCTTTTAATAGAGCATGAATTTAAGGGGTAAAAAATAACTGAGCAGAGCTTGCTGAATGAGAGACAATTCAAACCCCAACTCTAGTGCTTTTCCTCTTTCCTACCCCAAAGGGTGCCAGTTTTTAGGAGAAATCATGTTGGAAATTAAAGGAGCACATCATTTGTTCATTGAGTAAACACACTGAGCTCTGTATGCTAGGCACTGTGCTGAGTCATACTTTACTGGGATTATTTGAGGGGAGCATAAAGTTTTCTCTGTGGCAAACATGGTTCGATTGGGGATTATAATTTACCCTCTGTAAAATTACTTAACTAGAAGTGAATATAGAAAGAAAATGTGATTCCCAAAGTATAATTCTCATAGGTAAAGAAACAGAGTTTTGGTGAGCAAAGAAACAGGAGGTAGCAGAGATCCCACTGTGGGTGCACTGTGACTCAGATGAGGAAAAATAACTTCCACCAGGAAATTTCCTGCTGCAAACAGGCTATAGGCCTCAGTTCCAGCTGACATAAACCCAATGCCAGCTTCTTAAAAGTTGCATTTTTTAGTATTCTTATACATATATAACATGTATCTAATTTAACAAAAATAAGTAAGTGTGAGCATATTAGTCCTTTTTAATAAATTTTCCTTTTTTGGTTGGGTGGGGGGGGCTTGATTTTTTTTCTTCCACTTTCAGTCCCAGTAGGAGTTCATACTAACAACTTTAATATGAAGCCTTCCATTTTCCCCCACTCCCATAATCATATACAAACTTTAGAAATGAAATTTTAAACAGATTATTCATCTTGCTTTTCTTACTTAACAATACTTTATAGAAATCCCTCCAAGTCAGCTGGGGCCACACTAATGGCCACATAAGAGTCTACAGTCTATAAGTATCTTAATTCATTCAACAACTCTCTACTGGTAGATATTTTCCTTATTTCCAGCAATTTCTCCTGTGAGCAATGGTTAAATATTCTGTACATTTAGCCTCTGAACTGGTATGCTCATTCCTTGAGGAAGTTGAGCTTCCCAGAAACTGGAGAGCCTCCATATCCCCTGAACTCAGGAATTCCAGCACTTTGTCACTGTATCCCAGTTGCAGAAAAAGATGTTGGTATGGTCCTACTTCTGCCCTTTTAACCTAAGCCACTATTATCTCATGTGGACACTGGGGAACGGCTTCTTAATTGGTCTCCACATTAGATTTCTGGTTCTATTCCAACCCATCATGCAAACAGCAGTCACAAGAATCTTTTAAAAACAAATCTGATCATATCACTCCCCTACTTAAAACCTTTGGTGGCTCCTAATTATACTTAGAATAAAAATCAAATTCTACCAGGTCTCTGAAAGCCAGGCATGTTTTAGTCCTGCCCCCATGCCCACCATACCCAGCCACCCTGACTTTCAATCCCTGCCAAGCTTTTCTTCCCCTAGAGCCTGTACACTTGCTATTCCCTCTGCTGGAATTCCCTAGATTTCCACATGCTAGACCTCAGAGAGGTCTCTAGAATCCTCTGTTACTTCCTTTCACAATGTCTCTTTCTTTCCAGCAGTTCCTTTGGATTTGCAGCAGTCTGATTTTGATCAGCAGCAGTCTGATTTGCCCTTGTTTGTGTTTCTGGTCTCATGTATGCCTGCCTTCTAGAATGCCAGCTCTGTGATGGCAGGCATGGAATCTCCCTTGTTCTTGGTTGAATCTACCCCGCTAACATGGCACTTGGCATATGTGAGTGCTCTATAAATAAGTGGCAGAAAACTGCTCTCTCTCTAGTTCCTAAGGCACAACAATCTGTTAACTGACAGACTAGATAAATTTATATATGCTTGGATTCACATAGCCAATGCCTGGAAAAGTTCTTTCTGTTTATTACAACTTATTCCTCATTTTTCCTCTAGTGAACTGATGGTGGAGTGAGAGAGAGAGAGGAGACCTTTTCAGCTTTTACTTTCAGTTTTTTGTACAGTTTGATTTTTTATAATGAGCATGTAATAAACCAATAATAAATATTTTCTTAAATTGTTAACATTTCAAAAGACTTTCTGAAATTAGCCCTAGAGCTTATTCTATTAGCAAAAGTCTTAATGAGTTAAGCATCTAGAAATTCTCTTGCTTTTGCTAAGTAGTGACATTTGCTTAATAAAGTAAAAATTCTAAAAAACAGATAAACAAACAAAAAATTTCTATGAGGTAGATTTAGCATCATATCAAGCCTTCAGTGGGATACACAGCAATCAAGTCAGCAGAGCCTCCTGGTCCATGCCTCCTCCAACCCCCTAAAACACTATATGCTATGGGGGCTCTTGAAAATTTTCCCATGACCTTCAGAAGCCTCCCTTTGGCATCTCAGAATCTTACTCTTATTTATTTCTCGACACATGAAGTTTCCCTCTTCATTTCTTTTCCTTCAAAATAGAAATGTCTTTAAAATGCTGGCTTATTCAAAAGAAACACGTTTATTGTATTGAATTTAAATAATACAAGCTAAAAATGGAAGTCTCAATCTAACCATCCTCTATAGATGTACTACCCTTTTTAATAATTCACTGTTTAATATTTATAGGAAATAAATATGTAATGGAAAATAGTAAATACATGTAATTATGTATATGTTGCACATATATATATATGCCTACCTAAATATGATAATGCTAGACAAAATGTTTTCTAATACTGCTTTGTTTTACTTAATACATCATGGGCAAATTTCCATATATACTTATTTAAGTAACTATATTGGGTTCTTTGTATAGATATATCATAATTTAAACAATCTCCTATTCATGAGTATTTGGGCTTTGTAATATTTCACTGCTATAAACAACACTATAATATACTTGCATCTTTGTACTTTGCCTACTCACTTCTGTGGGATAATTTCCTTCAGGTAAAATGCTTGGTAACAAGAGAAATATATTTTATGAGAGCAAATATCCACTAAAAGACATGAACAAAAATATCTGTAAAAACTGAAAACAACCTAAATATCCACCAGTACAATAGTTAAATTTTAGTGTATTCCTACAAAGAAATACCACTTGCAGTGAAAGAATAGACTACTGTTACATGCAACAACATGGATAAATCTGACAATAATGAGTGAAAGAAGCCAAAAGCAAAAGAATACATACCATACAATTCCAAGAACTGGCAATGCTAATCTATTTTGGTAGATGTCAGAGTAGTGGGACTCTCTGTAGTTGTGGGACTTGGAGAGGGGACTATCAACTGGGAGGCTGGGATAAGGGAGCCTTTTGGGGTGCTGAAACTGTTCTATATCTTCATCTAGATGATGGACTCATGGGTAGATAGCTTTAAAACTATTAGGGTGTGCCCTTAAAATGTGCATACTTTACTGCAGGTATGTCAGACTTCAATTTAAAATGCAGAGGTGAACATATTTTTAAAATGTATCTATCTCTTGTCAGATCTTCTTTCAAAAGATCACTTTACAACTGTTGGAGATAAGTTTTTTTTAACCCTAGTGCCTGAAATAAGTTCTATTTTCTGAGTCCCAGAAATGATCCTTTGTATGTACTGCCTCACCCCCTCCCTCCCAAAACCCCTGCCAAAAAAAGAGCTATTCATTGACTCCAAAGCCTGGAATAATTTTCTTTCCAGACTCCTTTTGCCATATTTTTGTCTTCAGTCTTCCTAAAATTACCATTATTTTCCTGGACTACAGAAACCTGAGTTTATGGATCATAAGCCTCAAACAAAGGCATCTAAAGATCAAAAAGATGGGCCGGGTAGCTCATGCCTGTAATCCCAGCCCTTTGGGAGGCTAAAGTGGGCAGATCACCTGAGGTCAGGAGTTCAAGACCAACCTGGTGAAATCCCATCTCTACTGAAAATACAAAATTTAGTCAGGTGTGGTGGCAGCTACTTGTAATCCCAGCTACTTGGGAGGCTGAGGCAGGAGAATTGCTTGAACCTGGGAGGTGGAGGTTGCAGTGAGTCAAGATCGTGCCATTGCACTCCAGCCAGGGTGACAGAATGAGATCTGTCTCAAAAAAAAAAAAAAAAAAAAAAAAAGATAAATAAATAAAGGTCAAAAAGATGATATTTCAGCTTGGGAAAGAAACCATCAGTCACTTCTAAAACACAAAATATATAAATAATTTTAAGAAAAACACTAAGGTACCTGAAGTTCTTAACTCAGTAATAATGAGTATAAGAAAATGGATTTAGATTTTGGTTTATTTGGGGTAGATTC